GGGGGGGGCTTATTGATTTTGTCGAAACGCCGCTACATTGCAATTTCAACTAACTAGAAGACTATAATAATCATTTACAAAGAACTAGACCGAAATTTGTCTCGGCTCCTTTAACTATGGTGACTTTGACCAGTTCCCCGCGCGACAAAACCAATCTTCCGTCGTTTACAAAGATACCGGCGAAGGTGCGTCCGATAAAAAAATTATGAGAAAGCGATTTGTTTTACCATTCAAAATATTTGGTTACCGCGATAAATAAGGGCCCAATCTCCCCTCGTTTTTATTTTCGCCAAAYAGGGTAATTTTTTGGGTTAAGTTTGATTAGTTGACTTTAGTTATGTTCATAAGATCGCTCCCATTATAATCCAATAGTAGTGAACCTTTGCATAAAGAAGAAGCAATGTCTTCAGCTATCACGTGACAGTTAAGTTCAAAGTCACGTGACAAATTGCTGGGTAGTCTGCTGATAGATTGCAGTTGCAGTCTTTGATTATGGAGGGCGTCACAAAGTGTGATAGAAATATTCTATTGTATTCACTAAAAAACTTTGAAATGTTCGATATTTCGCCTAAACCTCTTGTTTTACGTTTTTGACGAACCTGCTTAAAGTGCCCCTAATGCCTAATCACAGACCTTTTTTGAAATTGGATGCATTCCTGATTTTTAAATGAGTTTTGAAAAAGCGCCTTTTCATATAAAGACCGCGCGTAAGGGGGACTGGTTCGATTACGTCATCGGGGTGATACGTTCCAAAAGTGRAAGACTTGCGCATTCTTCCAAGTTGGATTCACTCGTACAATAAGTAAAAGCTCAACATTTCGGTATTTTTTCTTTCTTAAAACTTTTAAAAACAGCACTCTTGACCCACAAAACAATTGGTGTATCACCCCGATGACGTAAGTCTATACAATTTTTCAAGGCTCCTCGAACGCGGTACTGAAATTTCGAGAGCGAGTGGACACGAGAATTTTGCCAACTCTTTCGTGCCGTAAAAAAATCAGGAGTTCGTTTGAAACGAAAAAAATTTTGAAAAAGGCGTTTATGACAATGTGAGGATTTGTTCTAATTTGGTCTGTAATCAGGCATTAGGGACACTTTAAAGGAAAACAGTAACAACCATTCAGAATTCACTTCAAATAATGTTGGCGTATTGCATACAATTCGTTTTTATTTAATTTCTTCAACGACTTGCTAGAACCTTATTCCTTGCGAATTGATATGAACTAGAAAATTGTTCWAATTAAAGATTCAAACCAAAACCGAACGTATTTGATATCAAGGACAGCACCCATTCACACCACGCGCGAATCCTTCTTTTCTTCTGATGCGTATATTACTGAACCCCAAATACGTGGCATTGCATTTGTTTCTGATAGCAATCATTTTTAAAGTGGGTGAAGAAATTCAGTATGAACACTGGTTTCCCATCATTTGGCATACTTTCACTCACACATATTGCCACAACAACATTCAATATCCTGTTTTGTACATACAATTCCCAACTCATTGCCCAAAACACGCAATTCTCCATTTCTCCATTTCCCTATTACGCCTTTGTATCATTTATACCAGAATTCTCTTTCTTTTTTTTTCTATTCAAATATTTTAACTCCTTTGGGAGTCGTAGAATAATGGTGCTATTTAGGGCAACGGAAGGAACTACGAAATTGATTCTGGTAGGAAAATGCAGAATGTCGAAAAAATGTTTTGATGAGAATGAAATTTTTTCAAAAAATGTTACGAAATGACCAAAGAATTTCAAAGCACCAGAAGCCAAGAACCTCTCAGAAACACTTTCCAATTCGGATTCTGTCACCGTATTTGTTAATCGTTACGCAAGAAACTATGCGAATCTTACATTAACGAAGAGCCAGTTGCGTCTAAAAAAGGTACCTATTAGCGAACTCTTCGTCTTGTACATCAAATTACAATGAGGTGCGAAGAGTACAAAGCTGATTAACAAATCAAGGACCAATTCTTATATACCTCCCATGCAATGCTTTCTGTTATTTTGCGATTTCCTTTCTTATGCGTCGATACCGACTGGTGTTTTTAGTGATAACAAGCTTGCAGATAACAACATCTCTTAGTTTGGTTTGCAAACAACAACAGCATGCACTCACCAAGTTTAGGGCAGTCAGCATCAAGAATTTGGAGGCGGAGGGACGTGTAGACATGAAGGCGCACATTCCATTGCACCATCATCAGTAATTTAGTCCTAACATTTTGTTTTTGACAAATTGGAAAACTTTTCGTGCACAAACTAAGGAAGGCCCCTTTCTTTAGATGTAGCGTTCATGAAAAAGAGCAGGCCCGACTTGTAGGGTATAATAACAGACAGTAAACTATACGTGCGTGCAGGGCATCTCGACCTGGGTCAGCTTAAATCATAAATCAAAAACGAGCGGACAGCATTCTCAAATGTTTGTCGGAAGCGATACCAGAAAACTGCACAAGTCGGGCCTATAACTTACGATTTAGCAAACTGCCATGACAGTCCTCTTTTCTGATTTCAAATCATTTGGAAATATTAGAAAATCGTTTTAATTAAGCCAATGTTTTAGGGACCCAAGGCGAAGAGGATCCAAGGTTTTGTCATGACGCGATGGGATGTAAGCCCTGCCCACTAAGATCAAACTGTCCGATCCAACTATGCAAAAATGATTTATAATTTACCAAACTTATTCTTATCATTTTTTCCAGATTCCATTCGTCTCAATTTCACGTGAATTAGAACTGATTTAGACAATGTGGAACCCCTTCTGAGGTGTCTATACTTCAGTTAAATTGACTGTTGCCCAAAAACATCTTTGGTGTCAYCCATCTTTGAGATACGATGAACGTACTTGCCTTCCTTCCTTAGTAAATAAACTCATCAGTAAAATAACTAGCAAGACATCAAAGTTTTAAAAAAAGGAGTCAAATTATGCTAGTTTTATCGGCAAAAGTCATGTCAACATGATTTTTTATTGTTTTTATTTAGTGGTTTATTTTGACTGACTACTCTGATCTTTGTCTTGTCGAACCCTTTTGATAGRCTGTCTCTTGGTTTTAGCTATATACTTGCCTTCAAGACAGTGTGTTTTACTTGTACCGCATAAGCTCTAATCAAACAAAATCATGCCAGAGTTTAAATATAAGAGTGGTGTGCTGAAACCTTATAGGTTACTTGACATTGAGCCATTTTTCCTCATTCATGTGAACATTTGTCTTGCAGCGTTTTGACATTGACACATCCTCAACATAAAATATGATTTAAGACGCAAGCGCTACTTTTGAGAGATAAGCTCTTGGAAGAAGTACATCAAATAACGAGAAACGATTGGCCATATGAAGTAAAATGCAGACATTTTTTTTCAATACGAAATATCTTTCCTTGAGATGGGAATTTTTATGTTATTCAGTGCCGGGACACTTTCTTTGAGCAAGGAGAGGAAATCTAAAATGGAAATCTTTCTGACAAGAAAAGGTACCTTCACCGATTATACTAAAAAAAATATTAGAATTAGTTCTGCGAAACGGAAACATAGTTTTCTTTTTTTTTTCTTTCTTCTATTGCCAAATTTTTATGCCAGCTACTCTGCAACTGAAACATTAAATTCAATGATTCATTTTTCAATATCCTTAATAACTCGACTTGAAAACGTGTTAACTAAGTTAAGGCCCCATTGTTGGATTGCAGTCTTGTGGGTTTTCTAATTAACTTATACACTTATCTGAAATGTTAAATTGAAATAATGAAAGAAAGACAAGCTGTTCCTCTGATCATAATTATTAGTTTTGCATTGTAAAAAATCCTGAGTTAGTTGATTTTATTAAAAAAATATTTGTTAACAACATTTAGTTTTGATTTTGATTTMTTCGCCACAAATATAAAAGTTCTAATTTACTCGAGTACTTTGCTTTGTGTTTAGACCTATTAAACTACCCAAAACTTGTTAAACTGTTGTAAGGTCTTGGAATTACAAACTCAGTTCATAGATACATGGACCTCGAATAAAGAATTTCAAAGTCTATTCTTAATTCAAATTTACGCAAATCAATGATTTGCTACCAAACCTCTAGCGAATGTTTTGTTGCACTAAGTTTAAGACTGCATTCTTAAAAAACAAAACCAGCTTTTTATATCTTTCTTTTTGGTAAATGTAGCTTTCATTATGAGTTTGGAAAAAATAAAGTTTAAGGGAGTTATGGTCTAAAATGTWTATGAAGTAATGAGRTTGAAACAACCTTTGACAAAGGCCTAGGACTTAAATAGTCGACTCAAATTCTTCAGTAGCAATGGAGCTCATAAATTTGTCCTTCAGGGGTATTTCTCTCTTTACCCAGCAAAACTTTTGCAGATAAATTAGGCTATTATTTTTTTCTGCTATCATAGAAGTTTCAGATGCAAAACAATCAAGGCAGTATTGTACTTTGAACTTTAGAGTCAATGTACAAATGTACACAAGATTTCCATGATGGAGTTTCTCTCCTCTTTAGCATGCAACACCTTCACACCTCGAAGGTGTTTATAATGTTCAGAACTCTTAAAAGTATTGTTTGTTAAGCGTGTCTTCGTAAGAGTGAATAGAGGAAGACTTCTACCTTTAAAAGCAGTATATTAAATCTAAAATTTTGTTGCCAAATCAAATTTGAATATATATGGAAAAGTTGCCTTCCAATTCCATCGCTGTGACATAAGCGTCGTTATTGCCGTTTAAGTAGGCATGCTCTATCAAGCTATCTTTTCCCAGATTTTCCACACATTCTCCTTTGATTTTAACAATACTTCTATAGTAATTATATTTTCCTACACTCATATATCAGATTTGTTTTTTTTCTCAGTATATATAATGAAGTTGGTCGTAATGGCCGTTCAAGTGAATTTGTTCGCCATTGTTACTGAAGATATCGTATGCAGGAATGTTCTTAGCAATGCCACTATACTTYGTATTCAAAAAAATGACATTAAAATTACAGTATTTTAATCAAGTTACATCAAAGATTACAAGAGAGACACCAAGAGACATCTTGAACGAATGATGATTTATAGTTAGTAAATTTTGTTAAAACATGATTTTTTGGTCTCGATGTTGTACGCTCGGTTCCGGCATCGCTGGACCTTTTGATTCTGAGTTTTAGTTACAAAATACAACAGCAATTGCCTTATATTCTCAAAATAAAAAGTGAAATAGAAATTATAAATTATATATCATTTTAATATATCAGTTAAGAACGTCTTATAATAAGTGAAGGAGATTACATTGCAGTAGAAATATGACATCAGCCGAATAGAACACTACACCAAAATGGCTTCTCCTTCTTGTTTAAGTGTCAAGTTCAAACTTTCATTCAGAAATAGCTTGAATGTTATGCTATGTATTTTATAGCAATTCACCAACATTTAAAAAATCTTTATTGTATAGATGTTTATAGATTTAAYTTGACTCTGGACACTTGCCGTAAGATAAGTTGAATTCTACTAAACTATATAAATCAAATTTTGGCAACTAGTTGGACTTTATTTATACCACCAACGAAACATTGATCACTCTCTAAGCTTACATAACCACGGACGTRCTATTCTCAAAACACATTTAAAAACTGTTACAACTACCCAAGAAAACTAAAAACATCTTAGATATTTTTCCTACTCAATGATATTTTTGGGAAGACTACAATTTTAAAATATTTTTGAACGATTTTTGTTTCTGCAAATTGGGTCATGCTGTAAAATGGTGACCGCGTTTGCCTTGTGTCTTGTAGCTTAATCAAAGAAAACTTTGAAAGCAAGTCAAATAAGAGAAACTGCATGAAATTATTTTATACTTAATTCATAAATTAAACTTTTTATGACATTCTTGCAAGCTTGGCTTTCCGAAACTTTCCTCGATATGCTGCACAAATTTGCAATGGAGCTGCAGTAAGTAATTACCAATTCYACCCGAATCACTTTCTCCCCAATCCTTTATATGTTTTAAATATTCAATCTTAATTATCGAATCATTTAAAAACAAAAGAATCATAATATRGTAAAAAGGTTTTGCATAGGCTAAGAAGATTTGTAGATGATAAACAAACAGGTATAAGTGAAAACGGTTTACGGTATTTCATGGCATTTATTTCACGTCACATACCATCACATAGCATATATAACATTCATTTGTTACGTGCGCAGATTTAGAACTTAACCATCCTCAGAGCAACAGAAAACTAAAAKGTATATCTTTGGAGAATAAAGCTGGAAAAATTAGGGAAATGTGAGCGTTTTTCGCAAAAAGGTGAAGGGAAAACTGATCAGGATCAGCGCCGGTATAGTTAGTTTTGATCGTCTTGTTTCGATCGAATTCTTCACAAATAACATTGAATATATAAAAGTAATTATATTCTAGTACGATGTCATGTTAATGAATACTTTTGCTCCAAAAAGAGTTAAGATATCATGAAAATAATAATTTCAAGTAACAATATAAAAAGACGTGAGACGATTGCCAAGTTTAGATTGATTAGTTAACATCATCTTAGATAATCCTTGCTTAACATAAAAATATCAAAAACTCTGAACATATATATAGATAGATATAGATATAGATATAGATATTTCTTTATAAAATATTTGAGTTAAATAACAGATAGAGTATTTGCTTCAATTTTGATAATTCTGAAAGTGCATTATTTGCTGGGATTTTTTTTTCCAGTTGAGTGCTTCATTTAGCGAGCAGAGAAGAAAATGGCTAGAGTTATTGAAGTCGAGAATGTCTCCTATAGTTGCTTCGTTGACTGATTTTTTTTCTATTGTAGAAGTAATAGTTATAGCCTTAAGTATGAATCGTGAGTTTGACTGACAATCAGAGTCAAAAGTAACACCATTTTTTGCTTGTTTGTACATTATGACTTCGCACCTAATTCGTTTCAGCCCACAGGCCCTGCATGTTAGACACGAAGGCTACAAAGCTTCCTTCTTAAAACTAGCAAAGACAAGCGACGCTAGTCTTGTCAAAGCCACGACTTCAGACTTTATACTTAAAATTCTCTTTACGAAGAAGGCGATCATTCTAGAATATCCTTATTATTATTAGACAAAAAAGGCGAAATTCTTAGTGCCAAAGCTTCTAACTGACTCGAATTTTCGTTGTTTTAAACCCGATTTGTTTTTGTATTTGCATGTCAGAAAAGCAGCGTGCTTTAACACTCTCTACGTCGCCTTAAACTATTAAATTGTCAGTTTATAATCATGTTTTGATATGCGAATTATATGTATATACAACTGGCCTATCTTGTGAAGCCTCTTCGCATGCCACGGCTTGTAGGAATAACTGGCTTGTTATCCTTTTTCCATTTCATTCTACGATTCTGGAACCAGATTTTGACTTGTCGCTCTGTTAGTTCCAACATAGAAGCCATTTCGGAACGTCGATCTTTGGTTAAATAACGAGTGAAGTGGAATTCTTTCTCAAGTTCTAAAAGYTGTTCACGATTGTACGCCATTCTTTTTCTGTGTTTGAACGGTTGTTTATGATGCCACGGAGCGTCTTCGTCGTCTTTTGAGTCTAGAGAGAGGAAGAAACRTCAATATTAATTAATATGAACAAGTCAACAAACTTTATTAAGCATTTTTGTTTTGTTTACAGTATCAGGTACAACTGACAATAAARTTATATTAACCTTAGAGTTCAACAATTATTGTGAACCAGTGCAATRAATGAAGTTTTCCTTCAGGGCGTAGCGGATATCTACCTCTGATGATTCATTTTGAAGTATCCCAAATGCGGACAAAAAATGAGCCATTTTRAGATTCGAATTGTTCCAAAAATTTCCACTAATGCAATCTTACAAGCCCAGCGCTTAATATGAACGAATAATATAATATTGTAAACCTGTGTTCGTTTTAGATTTAAGACAGTTGTTACCTTCGCCTTCTTCGTCTGAAAGTCGTTCTTCATTTTTGTGGCTGGCTTCTTTTGATGGAGCAGCTTCACTCGCATCTTGCATCTCTGTCCTCTTAGAGTGCTTCACATGGTTTTTTTCAAGAGTGTCTATTCTTGCTTCCATTACTTGCTTGAATGAGTTTTGTATATTTTCCATTGGTAGCAGGTTAGCAGAGGGTGACCTCTCACTCGCTGAAGCACTACTCAAAGAATGGAAAGGCGAAGGGTAGTAGGACCGCATTCCATAACTATAAACGATCGGCGCTGATCCATAGAAGCCTTGAGGGCCAAGAGAGTTGGATGGATGAAAAAAATAATCCATGTCGTTCAATGCACTCGTGTTTGCGCTTGAACTGCTGAGTGTTCAATGAAGAGGGGCTTCACTCTCCCCACACAGTTGCAATTAACATGGYTATTACGCGATCGACTGATTAATTTCGTATCGGCTAATTAACCGCAGTACAACGTCACCGAAATCTGACCCCCATACATTGCTGGCGCCTGTGTCCCGGACGATTACGGAGCCTATTAATGTGTTAATAAAGGATGGCGTCGCAAAGATTTCACACCTCTCTTCCAAGCAAAGCACTCTAAGAAATCATATCCTGATACGACACGTTCAGTTAATAAAAAGATTCAAGAAAACCGCTTTGTTGACAATAAAAAGTGAATTGGTGAAGTGAAGTGTGTTATTAACAATGATGTCTTGTTTTGGTCAGGTGACACGTGCTTTTACCAAGGCAACCGCTGAAACCGCAATTCTTTTCCTTTAAGATTCTGAAATGACTCAACTTTTGATCCAAAATAAAAAACAAATGATTTTTTTAGACTAAAGTTTTAAAACTACCTTCGAGGATATGTTTTGAAGACACTGTGCCTTATAGCTGAGGTTCACCTATCCAACGTTACCTTCAACTAAAACCTAAAGAACGCATGGAGTGATTTCTCTGTCTCCTAAGCCAGAAGCTCAATCGGGATTTCAATGCTTTTTGCTCYATTTCTTTAAAAAGGATAAGAGTTGATTTTAGATAGAGTAAAAACCTGTTGAATTGCTAGCAGGCTAATCTAAAGCTACCAAAGTTTAGTTCTAGCAACGTAATGTTTTTTTAATTTTTTGTTCCACGACTTGTCCACTTTTTTCAATCCAATACAGATTAATGCATAGCAGATTATGATAATGCTTGGCGTCGCTGGTATTTAAGACTCTTCAATGAATTAGAAATTGAAGGCAATGATTCTGTACTCTAAAAATTCCGGCTATTCATCATACAAACTGGAAAAGCATGTATTGCAGCTAAAAAAGGGTARAATATCTCATTTACCGCAAAGACATGAGCATTAGTAGATTTGATAAAGGTGCTTTTAGGTATATAATTTAGTAAGAGAAAACTAGTTGTAAAAGACAACGTTTCGCAGTAGATTGTATTTTTATAAGGCAACCTTTTTGGGAAGTAACTGGTTTAATATTCCAACGATATCATCATCAAAAGTATGATCTTTATTTCACTCAGAGCAAATCAGARAATATAGATATAAAGCTAGGGAAATGATTTGTGGATTTATAAACAATGGCAATAAGCCGACACTAATCTCAATCAAGCGGATGATCTTTCATGAGCCTCAGGGTCTCCAGTCAATGCACTTGTTATCAATCAGTATATTTGGACTATCTAGGTTTCAGGTATAATTTGTCATCGCAATAGATATCTTATAGCGAGATAATGATCTTGTGTCTATGTAGTTTCTGCAGGTGGATGGCAGTACAATAGGTCGAGTATAGCTAAAGGTGGCTTCTTTTGGTTACAAGTCTAAGGTCCCCATCCAGACRTTTTCATCTATTCCGTCCACACGTAAACGATGAAAACGCTCACTGTA